ATCGAATCCTGGGGGGTTGAACATAAGGCATTACTGAGGGTGTTTTAGAAAGACAGTGGCATGTTTAGAGCTCTGCTCCATGGAGATAAATCTGGAGTTAGAATATGAAGCAGAATGTGCAGGCAACAAGGAGGGAGGCTCCTCAGAGGCTCAGGAGAGCTGACAAGGGCTGTCTTCTCAGAGGCCCTCACTCTGTGCACCAGGCTGTGCCTGCCTGTGTGACGTTCCCCATGACTTACTGCCTGTTCTGTCCCTCTGAGCCTGGCGGTCAGCGAGAGGGCAGCTCCCAGCCCTTCTTCCCAGCACCTGTCTTTCTGCTGCAGTTTACAGAGCCATGGCTGAAAATGTATGAAAAGGACCACAGACAGGTGAAGGCAATGTTTACACAGCGCTCTCAGCCTGTGGGTCACGACCCCTCTGTCACAATGAAAATACATCCTGCACATCAGATATTTACATCACGATTCATAACAGTAGCAAAATTACAGTTATGAAGCAGCAACAAAAATAATTTTATGATTGGGGGTTGCCACAACATGAAGAACTGTATCAAAGGGTTGTGGCATTAGGAGGCGTTAGGAAGGTTGAGAACCACTGGTTTACAGGAAAAGATAAGAGCTAGTGAAACTAGTGGCGAGGTCTGACAGCAGTGCCAGGGCAGGGGGAAATCTCCGAGAGGTGAGACCAGCCTCAGCAGAGCAGGCGATGGTGGCTATCAGGCACTGTTTCAAAAGGAGCAAAGTCTTCAAAACCACCTGTCTCTACAGCAATGAATAAAAAGACCATGACTCTTGGCAACCACCATACCTTACACATATCACATCTGCTCTAATGGTTACACCGTGGGGCAAATATTCCCCCAAGGGCATGGATTGGGGTCTAACTCCAAACCCATCACAGGGCTTGATGCGTGAAAGTAACCAAATAATTGTTTCTTACACAAGTGAATGAATTAACAGGTAGGTTGTCACTCAATGTCCCCCTCGAAAGAAAATATTGTTAATTCCAAGGTGAAGGAGGTGGGGAGAAAGTGCGTGGTGAGGAATTGGAGGCAATCAATACAGAAGGAAATGTTTTGGAGGGAAGGAGTGAGGTAAGGCAAGACGTGAGCGGGGGGTTGTTTCCGTACCAGTGGGGCTGATGTTGCAGTCCTTTGATTGACACATCTATTTCTAAGTAAAGGAGCCTTGAGCCCTTTATAGGTTGGAAGAAAGAAGTAAAGGATGATAAAGATGAGGGAAGGGAGAAGATAGACATGGTTATGCACAAACAGCCACAGGAGGGTCAGAGGGCCTGGGGCGGGAGAGCAGGGCCGCACAGAGGCAGTGACACTTCTCACTCTGAGAGAGGCAGGAAGGACACTTGCTATTCTGTAAGAATCAGTAGATCCTCTCCGGGACAGACGGCTTCAGTGGATACAGAGAAACCTGAGCTGAAGAATTTTGCTGGCCCTGCCCCCTCATAAAAGAAGAGAATGAAAGATGCAGCCAGTTGAGGTTTTGTGATTATGAAGACTGGAAAAGGGTAGGAAGAGCTGTCTTGGAAATACATTCAATAGACAGAGGACAGAGTTATCAGCCCCAAGAGCCCTGGGGGTGGCAGAAGGCTTTGTGAATTGCAAGAGGCGAGGTCATCTGGGTCCCTGACTTCCTCCAGCCAGTAGCTCAGGGTTTGTTAGACAGGTGAACACAGAAGTCACAGGGCAAAGGGCTTCGGAGCTCAAAGGAGAGACATCCCATTGGCGATAAGCCAGAGCCAGCATTTTTCATAAATGAGTTTTCGTGCTTAGTTGCTTAGTGGCGGGGTCTCTCACTTGAGTGTAAGCCCTCAGAGGTCAGAGCACAGTGCTGACCCCATCACATACTTGGTCCTCAATAAGTGGTGTCAGTGTATCAAAGAGAGAAAGGGAAGGGGCAAGGGAGGGAGGGAGGGAGGTAGAGACTGAAAGAGAATAGTACAGTATCACCTCAGGGCTTTTGTTCAGAACCAAGGACTGTGTTGTACACTGTATGTGTAGGGTGGATACTACGTGCTCTGGTTGGGTTTCCAATCTCTCATTTACTTATAAGAGAATGTTAAATTCATGTTAACTCTGTACAAACAAGGACAAAATCATTGAACAAAAATCATCAAAAGTAGTCAATATATTGGGGTGGCACCTGTGGTTCAAAGGAGTAGGGTGCCAGCCCCATATACCAGAGGTGGTGGGTTCAACACAGCCTTGGCCAAAAACTGCAAAAAAAAAAAGTAGTCAATATAAGTGCCCATGAAGTTTTTATGGTTAAGAAAAAGTGAAGTCTGCTTCTCACAGCAATATTAGATGAATTGAGAAGTCGGTTAGTGAAACTGATAAGAAAAGTGGAGACGACTTACTATCATTACCAAGGTTGTGTTCAGAAATAAACTCATCTCTCCAGATCTCTGTGTGATACCAACTACAGCAATCTCAAGTCCCAGACAAAATGGTGTTCTCAAATAATTCTTCAGAGGAGATGGCATTAGTTATTCAAATGATGAGCGGACCATTCTGCAAGGGACAGTTCAGTTTGTATAAATCCTGATTTTAAAAAAAAATGTCCTTTAGCTAAATTTGTGGCAGAAAGAGGGAAATTTTTTTAATAATCAGAAGTTATATTAATGTTGAAAGCCTTATCCAGGTCAGAAGGGGTCCTGGTTGGTAGGAAAGAGGTCTAGGAGTGACGGTGACCATAAGATCAGGGACATGATGGAAACAATTTGGAGTTTCATTGAGTGGCTGCATTTCCCGAGGTTGACATCTTCCGGAATTTCCTGAGGGTCAAATGTTATTTCTTCTGATCCATCTCCTGTTTCTGGGACCCCCTGGGGAGACACACAGAACACAGAGCTCCATGGGTGGCTCTCCACCATCCAGGTACCGTCTGGTACTGGCGGGCCCAAGGGAAACAGCACAGCCATCCACAGTGACTTAGGGAAAACACCATAAATTCGATCTTATCATCATGGCTCCCAGATTAAGGAGAGTAGAAGTCACCTCCGCCTGCCTCCCACCCTCCACACCTTCACCCAGTCTAGCCAGACTTAAAATGTGTCTGTTCTGCCCAACATCCTAACCACAGTCTAACTCGGGGAGAGCTGACGAAGGCTGACCCCTGAGCGCTCACTGTGCTGTTTAAGCCACAGCTCTCTATGACTGACAGATGCTTTGATAACATTTTCTTCCCCAAACTCCCCATTCCACAGACTCTCTTAGAAAATAACAATATTATTATTTGAATAATATTACTGTTGATGACACCTGCCTGGGACCCTAGCTTCCCAGATAAAGGCAGCCATGGTCCTGCCTATAAGCTTTCCAAGAAAGCTTCAAAGAGATTGAAGATTTGATCTAAGCCCCATCCAGACCTTATGGATTTCCTGGCAAGGCTGGCAGTACCTAGCCCAATGCCTGGCACAGAGCAGCTACCAACAAACATTTGTTGAATTGAACTGAAGTGTGACTTTCCCCCGATCCCTGGAGGCCCATGCCCATCATTTTCCTGAAGAGTGTCCGAAGACAGCCCCTCGGCACCCATCTGCCGTGCTGCTCCTCAGCGGCCAGTAAGGTTGTATCCAGTTAGTATCAGGTCTTGATCCATCCACTGGTGGGCAGTAGGTTACCGGCAGGCTTTTCTGCCAAAGATGCTGCTGATTCCAGTGACTTACCATTGACAAGGCAACTATTTGGACTTGATTTCCTAGGTCAACTCAAATTTTATGTAGTTCTCCTTAAACAGCTAAGCCCCAGGTATTTGGGGCATGATTATCCACAGAGCTTACCCTCTCCATTGTGGCACACAATTTCAGGAACAACACATACAACTGTGCACCTAACTTGTTTGATATTGGCTTACATTCAACCATCTTCTGAAATTATCTAATCAAAATGTAATAGGCTGTCCCAGGACATTCTGAAATTTTATCAAGTGGACACAAACTCTTATTTCCTAGCAAGTAAAATTATAAACAACCTCAAAAAGAGGATACTTAGAGAAATACAGTAGAACTTCCATAGTTGACTACCTCCCTACACTGACCACCTCCTTCGTAACCTGGCCTAATTCCCATCGACCAGATGTGCACCACATGTATTGGAGGCCTAGTTCCTTACGTTGACCACTTCTGTGTGTTGACCAGTTGGTTACAGTCCCTTGGGTGGTCAACTTACAGAGGTCCTACTGTATTCATTGATTGACCCTGTGTCAAGTAAAAATTAAAAACATGATAAAGATAGGTATCCATTTACAGAACAGAGTCCATATCAGGAACGTTTTTATTATTACACAATGTAAACACTTTAAGCTATAATTATTATCGGATGGTTCTCTATTCATCAGACTTTAAACTCATGCTTTCATCTTCTCTGTCAAGAAGAATAATCTTCAGGCTGTAAAGGTCAGAAGAAATGATAAGATGGAATCAAAATGCTAGATAAGTGTAGAAATGGTCAGAGGGACTCAGAGAACTCAGGCCTCGTGGTCTGGACACAGCACATCAGCACCTCTCAGGGTGAGGAGAGATTCTCTGAAGGGAATCTTTGAGCGACCAGAGAAAACAGAAGATTGGTCGTTGGGGGCCCACATTTCCAGAGAGACCCAGATTAGTCAAATCACAAACCAGAAGATTTAATATGTATTTTGGGCAAGAGTCTCAACTGAATTATTAAAAATTTGGTTTAGATACATGAAAAGAAAGTAGGGATAATAAGGAATATATCATCCCAGATTAAACTAATTGTTGGTAGATTTACTAAATTGGCAAGAAAGAGTGATATAAACACAGTCTATGACGCTTGCAGCAGGATGAGGGATAGCCTTTCATAACATTTTGTTTTGTACCCAAGATAGAGAATTATAAATTGGATCAAGGGCATTTATGGGGTTTAAAAATGGGCTGAACAAGTGTATAGAAAACATCAGCGTCGGCCTCCAGGGGTTTCCGAGAACCCCATCCTGTCCCATTCAGCACTTTTACCTGCGAATTTGCGAATTGAAGAAGGATTTTCATTGGCTCTGACAGTGCCCAGCCCAGACAGATGGCAAATGCTCCTGTGATGGAAACAGGACATAAAACATCTCAATTGGCTTAAGTCATGAGCCATGTCATGGGGAAATAAATGGGGCCTTTCGCATGGGTTGGCAGAACCCAGGCATCATGATGAGGGGAGAGGGGCACAGATGGGGTATTAGAGGACAGGAGTGCTGTGAGGGACAGTGTGCTGGCTTCTTAGAGGCACCATGGCAAAATACCCCAAGCCCAGTAGTTGGTTTTTTTTTTTTAATTTTTTCCTTATTAAAACAAAGGTGTTTACATTAGTGCATTTATGAGGTGCAATATGCTGATTTGATATGCAATGTGGAATGCTTACATCAAACTGATTACCATAACCATCTCCTCCCTTACTTACTTGCTGTGCTAAGACTTTTGTACCTATTGTTAGCAGTTAGAACGTGCATTATGTACATTAGGTGTGGTCCCAACAAATTCCCTCCCACCTTCCTCCCCTTCCTTCTCTTCCCTCTTCCCTCCTTCTTTCTGGACTATAGTTATGTTTAAACAACAGGAATTTTATCATCTCATTGCCTTGGAGGGCAGACATCCAAAATCCTGGCTGAGCTCTTGGACTGCTCTGGGGAGAACCTTCCCTGCCAGTATGTCCTCTGAAGGTCACCAGCAACCCCAGAAAGCCACCAGCTTGTTGGCTTGTCGGAGCATTGCTCTAGGGGCAGGGCAGGTCTCCTGAGCAGGTCACACCACCCTCCCACAGGTGCAAACCACTCTTGCTGCCCAGGCCCATGCCACCCTCCTAACAGGTCACACCACCCTCCCCGCAGGTTACACTCTCCTGCCCACAGGTCACACCACCCTCCCCACAGGTCACACCACCCTCCCTCTGTGTGCCTCTACATCCAATTCCTCTTCCCAGAGCTGTCCCAGTCACCCTGAACCAGGGCTTCCACAAACAGCCTCATTTTTCTCGGTTACCTCTGTAAAGACACTGTTTCCAGATAAGGTCACCTGAGGTACTGGGGATTAGGGCGGCAGCACACCTTTTGGAAGAACACAGTTTAGCCTGTAGCTAACAGGAATCTGCCCACCAGGAAAAACGTGACTGCATAGATGAGGAGTGAGGGAAGCGTCTGCCTCTCAGGACACAGAGCCCCAGGGCTGCGTCAGCTGCCAGCCTCTCCAGACACATTCAGGGAAAGCAATCAGTCTGAGGATAGAACTGGAAACCGAACGACTGCGGCCTGCTTTGGAGGAAATGGGGATGCTTAGCCTGGGGAAGCAGAGGCACGGGGGAAATGAAAGCTGCCTTCAGATACACGACGGGCTGGGGGAAAGCAGCCAGCTGGCTTGTTATGGCTCTGAGGTCAGAATTATATTACAGAGAGAGACAGACTCAACGGGATGCAAAGAAGATTCCAAAATGTAGTGTGTCCACAGCCAGCTGGATTTCACGGGAAATAAGCAAATTCCCTCTCTTTGGATGTCTGGAGGCAAAGGCTTAACACAGAGGTTGGAATGAGAGCCTTGGAAGTCAGCTCAGATCATGAGCCCCTGACCCGGGTATTCAAGAATTCTAGGAAAGAAGTTCTTCCTTTAAGTAAAGAATATTTATGCCAAAGGAGCCCATAATAACTTATAAGGAAGTGGAATGTACTAACCAAAATTTAGAATTGTTTTCTATTAAAGAAAATATGGGTAAAAGAAAAATGAGCAGAATCACATATTTTAACTCTGCAAATAAAAAATAGATGGTCTAAATAAACATAAAACATACTCAGTAAGAATATAGGAAAACCACAAAATCAAATAAAGGAAAGTGAAAACTTATCCAAGTCTCAGGAATTTTAAAAGAAAAGCAGCATTTCAATTTTTATGAAAGAAATATGAGAAATGGAGTCAAGAATAGCAAACGGACATTTCAGTGAGAAGCAACATCCCCCCTCCCCGTGATCAGGAGCACAGAGAAAGAGGAAGGGGAGATACTAATGCCGTGAAGTGAGTGGATTTCTCTGTTGGAGTTTGGAGGCAGCGAGAACCAGGATGGGCCGGGAGAGGCAGGTCACACGGCAGCGGCAAGGGCACCAGCTTCAGGGAAGGGCGGGAGACCAGCGGGCCTGGCCCAGCCACCCACCAGTGCACAAGCGTTCACAAACATTTCTCTGCTTCTCAGTTTGCTGATTTTTTTTTTCAATCAGATGATATTTTGACAATTTTGTTCACCTTTAAAATTGTGAGTCTGATGACTATCTACAGATAGGGAATGTGGAAATACTTTAACACTATAAAGGCACAAGAATGTTCACCTTTAAAGGCAACCAGCAACAAGCAGCCAATGTAACTGGGTAAAAGACCAAAACCAAAAGCATCTGGTTGAAAATAAGCATGGTTACCATAGAGGAGAACATGCCAGTGAGCAAAATGACCGCGTACTGACAGTGTTTGGATTTCACGGAAAATACAAGAGAGCCTCTTCATTACCACACAGGAAACACTAGCCTTGCATTACCAATCGAATCACGAGCACCCGGGAAGAAGCCATTTACAAATACTTCCAGAAGCCCACTCAGACCCACCACATTGCTTGGTATGATGTGAGATGTAATATATCCCTAAGCTTGAGACATCACATTTGGCTTCCAGTGCAAACAGCATCACCTTCTAGGGAGCATGAAGCCCTGGATCCGCAAAAGACATTTCATAAAATTTTCTACCATGTTCATCTCAACACACATGTAATGAGTGCTGTAGACCTAACCAAGTGATTTTCAATCTAAAGAAAAACATAATTAATGGCTTAGCATTTATTTATAACACATACATATGAAACAAAGTACTAGAAGCCGAAAACAGCAGGAGGTGAAGCAGAAGGAGACAATCGGTTCACAAAGGGCTTTCTGGGTTATTCCAGTGGCAAAGGCTTTCCCTTATGGGCAAAACAAAGCTGATGAAGGATTCTGAGCACTGAAGTGAGGGCAATCCAGCTTGGCAATTCAGGGAGACAGTTCCAGCTGCCCATGGAGAGGAGGTGAAGTGCAGAAGGGAGGTAGGAGCTGGAGGGGAGATCAGGAGGGAGGTGGGAGCTGGAGGGGAAGTCAGGAGGGAGGTGGGAGCTGGAGGGGAGATCAAGAGGGAGG